CCCCCCCGCGGCGCGGGGTACTCACGAATTGGCTGTTGCTGTGGCTGCGGCGCAGGCGCATGGTCATTTTGGTGCAGGGCTCGGGGCTGTGCCGCAGCTCCTCCTTCCCCTCCAGGTAAGCGCGGGGAGACACCGGCTCCACCTTGGCCTCGGGTCCCGTCGGTTCCTCCTTCACCACCACCGTGGGGGGACACTCGGGACCGTCTTTATCTACAGGGCGAAGAATTAGGGGGGTCACAACTCCCGCCCTGTGCCCCCCAAGTCGCCCCGGGGGGGTTCCCTCATACCTTTCTTACGCAGGGTCTTGTCTTTGGCCACCAGCCCCAACCCCAACATTTTGGGGCCGGCCCCGTAGATCTGCAGCTTCTTCAATTCCGGGTTTTTCTCGATGTCTTCCTCCGTCGGCTCCGGCTGCGGGATGGCAGAGTCACAGGGGGGTCCCCTGAAAATGCACAGGGGGGTTGTGGGGGTGGTTTTTTTGGGGGGTGCTCACCTCCTGCTGCAGGCGTTTAGCCCGACGGCCGTAGCTGTTGAACTTGGAGGGCTGGACGGACTGGCGCAGCGGGATGCTGTGGGGTTTGTACTCCCGGTCCTTCTCCTCGCTCTCAAAGGGCCGCGTGTTGCACTGCTGAAGGGAAGAGACCCTCAGCGTGGCGGGGGGCACCCCGTAGCCCCCCGTTTTTCCACCTAAATCACCCCGTTTTTCTCACCACCAGGTTGGCCCCCGACTGGTACATCTCGTAGGGGTAGATGATGCGCTCGTAGTGGGCGCGCAGCAGCGAGCCGATGTTTTTCCCCGAGGGGTAAGCGAGGCGTTGGGCCACCCGAGCCCACCGCCGGTCCTTACAGATGGCTTCGTACCCCCCTTCCTCCATCACCACCTTCGGAAAAGGGGGACACACGGACGTGAAGCACCCCCAAACCGGTTGCATTCCCCCCGCCCCAGTGCCCCCCCCCAACCTTGCTGAGGCTGTAGAGGTCGAGGATGCGTCGCTCGACGTTGGGGATCTTGAGCGAAGAACCCTGGATTTCCCAAAATTTGGCGATCTGGTCCAGGTAGTTCAGCTTCACCCGGGTCTGCGCCTAGGGCGGGGGGTGAAAAAGGAGGGGTGAGCCCCGTGTGCACCCCAAAATCAGCTGGGGAAGGAAAAGGGGGGGACCCCCCCACTTACCTCCAGCTCGTTGAGCCGCTGGATGCGGGGGGTAAACCTGAAGTTGTCCACCTCCACGGCGAAGGGGGGCTGCCAGTCCTGGGGAGACGAGGGGCGGGGGGCGGTTAGCAGCGACGGCCCCCCCATTCCTACACGGGCAGGGCAGCCCCGAGGGCTCCGCAGGGGAAAAAAATGGCCACGTGCACCCCAAATTGAGGGGGGGGGGGCACCCCGGAGGCATCCCCCGCCCCCGTGCTGTGGGGGACAGCCCCGCGGCATGCACCCCACGTTGTGGGGGGACCCACGCAGGGAGCCGGTGACGCCGGCGCGGCCGGGCCCAGCCCTCCCCGGAAGCCCTTCTCCCCCCCGCCAAGCTGGGGGGACCGGATCAGCCTGTCCTTCCCCCCACCCC